TATCATTTCCCCTGTGTTGGAAAAAAAGCTACTGCGCATGACAGAAGGGATAAAATATAATACTAATACTTTATTACGGATCCTCAGTTTATTAGAAAATGTTTCATGTGATGGATGCCTACGTTGATTTTCAAGGATTCCGCGGTAGCTTAAAGGAATTCATTCCGAAAGAAATATCTATCGTTTCGTCGGAGGGACCTAGTTGCACAACTCTACTGATGAAGCCGCCCGTCAATTATACTGTAACCTCATCGATGAAAAAAGAAATCAAATTCTTGGAAGACTGTTATCATGGCATGAAATGGGGTTCCGGGTACATTAGATACGAGGACTTTGAAGAAGAACTACGCACGTTACTTCAGCCGTTCAATAGAACTTACGTGAAGGGGTTGGAGAAGCAATAATTGTTAAATGTTCTCGACAAGTTTGTAATTAACTTAGAAGATGTCGGCTGTCCTTCGCTAAAGAAGTTAAAGAACAGTCATAGAGGAGTTAGGTGTCTCAATCACGCAGAGAACACACTTATGTGTGCTCAAGAAAATGCATTAATATTACATGAATGGGCTCAAATTGATTCCACCAATGAATACCCTAGAACTTCAAGGAGCATTGAATCCGATTCAGAAGAAGGCTGCGCGTGCTGTTTTCGCATCAGATGAGCTCATACGAGCAAGTGTACGTCGACCATTTGCCGCAATTGTAAATACAGATGTCTCAACACTGGAATGCCGTTTACATTGATAAACATGGAAATGGAGAATATTTCGATTCATTCGGATGTCCACCTCATGGATTACATTTACAATTTTTGAAAAAACATTCCCGGAAACTAGAGTTTAATTCGCAACCGCTCCAGCAGCCTTTATCAACTTATTGTGGGCAGTACTGTTTAATGTATTTTTTATTATATCTGAATCACAATCTCCGTTTTAAACACTAAAATGCGTGCGAAAAAAGGCCTTTAAAACACACGTGTGCTTTAAAGTTGCTAAGTAAAGATACTTCAAGTATGACTTTTGAAACTGTCATCTGGGTGAAATAAAAAATCTTCCTAAGTCGCTTTCTGTAAATGCAGAACATTTCTTTGGCTTGTACCTATCCTTTGGTTGAAGCTTTCACAAACGCGCGTAATTTAGGGTATGCTTCCAAATCTGTTCCACTTTTTAATCGCAGCATTTCTTTAAAGTTTTTAATGAATGCACCAAAATATAGAAGATTTAAATACCTTTGACCTTTCCTTCATATATGCCAGCATTATCGATGCATTTAAGACCTTATTCGTAAGTAACTTCCTATTCATCCATGGAAACAACTTTTCATATGCTTGATAATAGGCTTTACTGGATTGAGATTTTACACCTACCAACGTTTGTTTAGATTTTACAACAAGCGATTTAATGGACGGTGTATATCTTTTTCAACGGAAATCGTTTTATTCACAAAATTAGACATGTATTCGAATTTAACGTCAATATGATTTCATTGAATTTCCTATTTTTAAATTATACTGCAGGTATAATAAAAAATACTATAAGATACACGTGTATAATGGGTCTTTAAAGCACTTGCAACGTTAAAGGCACTCCGCTTTGCGTCGTGCCCTTAAACTCGTTGCGCGTGCTTTAAAGACTTGATTATACACTTGTATCTTAATATACTACAGTTTTTAAGTTTAATAATTTAGCACTTAAGGCGACTCTAAGGAGCGAAAGTATGAGAAATTTCGAATATAGCAGCGTACACGTTAGCCGACCGCCTGGCCGCTGATGTAGCATAGGAATTCATTCTTGCAGGTAGAATATGTAAATTAGTTGCAGTGAGTATAATAAAACAATTACGATGGCCTATGGGCGAATCTATTATAGAGGTTATGAATGGAAGATGTTTTGAAGTCATTACTAAAACCAGCAATACACGATAAGAAATTACATGTATTTTACATCAATTTCTTGTCAAAGCGCGAATTTAATTGTGTATGATTACCATGTATTTTTACATGAAATTTTACGTTCAATGTTTTTAAATAAAAGCCGTAGTACACCATCATAAATTACATGAATTATTCATGAATTTTGATGAAAAATGCTAATTACATCGTGTATTGTCACCGTGAATTTTTAGATTCAATTTTACATCATAAATTGAAGAAATAGGTTTTGTTCTATTTCTGAAGGTCATTGTCATGAATTTTTAGTTCGCTGTAGTACAGTTTATTTACTTGTGGTTGGCAAAACGCAAGTATTGGTACAAGTGTAAAAACAAACTTGTAACCTCAATTCTTTCCCGTACTTTATTTATTTATTTAAAAATGTGGAACCAAGACCACACAAAAACACTCATACAATTGTATGAACAACATGAATGTTTATATTTAATTAGCAGTGTGCACTATAAAAACAAAACAAAGCGCAGAATGGCCCTGGAAGAAATTACTACAAATTTCAATAATTTGTGTAATACAGACGTGACATGGGATGTAATACAAAAAAAAATAAATGGGCTACGAACAACTTACACCAGTGAACTTAATAAGTTAAAAAAAAGCGAACATTCAGGTGCAGGATTAGACGATGTGTATGTATCGACATGGTGGTGTTTCGAATTATTGAATTTCTTACACCATCGGCAAGCACCTCACAATGCCACGAAAAATGTTTCATCAATCAATGTAAGTTTTATTTTATGTTACTTGTACGAAGAAAAAAATTTGTAGCATGCGGCACAAGGGCAAGCTGTAGAAGTTTACCAAGGAGAAGTCGACTCTGAAAAGGACGAATTAATTTACGAGGGCACAATAGATGACATGGGGAATTTTAATGTTGGTACACCGCATGACGATTTAAATAGTCAATCTCCAATTACTGTAACACCCATTTCTCAAAAGGTAATTTCTTTATGGAGATAGTATAATGATTTTTAATTGTAATTTTATAGTCAACAAAAAAACGCAAAAGAGAATCTGCAACAGGAGATATACAATATGAAAAGCTTCCACGTCGGCATTAACTAATATTGGGGCTGTAAGTAAATCCGAGAATGATCCAACCAAAAACTTTTGTAAAAATATTGAATCAGAAATGCGGATGATAACGGATCGTAACATCCTAAGAGAAGTAAAGAGACAGATAATGATGCTCATTTACGATGCGCAAGAAAAGGAAAATTGAAGAAAACATTTTTATATTTATATTTTATAAAATAAAACACTAGAAAACATTTTTTATATGCTAAACTCATTCTTTACACTGAAATGAACAAAACTTATTTGAAAACTATATTTAAATCATATTATTTTGCCATTCTACTGCTCCAATTCCATTAAAGTAACGGTTAAATTCTTCACGAATTTGCATTGCAGTATTGCTTGGACGATTACCAATTTGCTGACCAATTCCTCCTAGTTGATCGTTACTGGTTGTGGGGGTATGCTCAACCGATTGTACATACAGATTACTTTCAGCAATTAAAAAATTATGAAGAGCACAACACGCTAACGTAATATCTCGAGTTTTATCAGCTCCCAAATTAATTTTTCCCAACAAAATGCGGAATCTATTGGCCAAAATACCGAAAGCATTTTCGACAACTCTACGTCCACGGCTTAACCTATAATTAAATATCGCCTGTTCTTCAGTGAGGCCTCGAAATGGGTATGGTTTCAATATATTTTTTTTTAAAGGGAATGCAGCATCCGCTAGAATTACATACGGTACTGCACGTTGCATACCAGGCAGCGGTTTATCAAGTGGTATGTTGAGAGAATTATTTTCCAATGCTCTATACAGATCACTTTGACTAAACACACCTCCATCAGACACTCTACCATTCACACCAACGTCTATATATGTAAATCGATATTTAGCATCTGTAAGAGCCAGTAGTACAATACTATGGAATCCCTTATAATTATAATAAGTGGATCCTGATGCTAATGGTGCACAAAACGCAATATGCTTGCCATCTAAGGCTCCAAGCACATTTGGAATTTGCCATTCGTTATAAAAACCTGTAGCTATTTCTTCCCACTGAGAACAAGTTTCGGGCAACTGTAAAAAGTTATATTACTATTGGTTTCATATATAGGTACATAAGTTAACAAATGTACTTTGATGTAGTCCTTAACTAGCACAGAATAAATTGCTCGACACACAACAGGGACAAACTGTGCAATGGTTGATTCATGCACTCTTGTAGAGAACATAAGATTTCTAAATGTTTCTCCAGTCGCCAAATAACGCAATGCAATAATTAGTTTATGCTTTGCTGGTATTGCCTGACGCATAACAGTGTCCTGTTTGCTAATGAGATTTTCCACTTTTCCCAACAGTTTCAATAGGGACGTGTTGGACATCCTTAAATAATTTTTGAATGCCAATGGGTCTTCTGTTAATAATTCATTAGTCACAAGGTTCATGATTCCTTTGCTATCTCTTCTTCCAACCCAAGAACGCACCCATATTCTTCGATTCCGTTTTTTCTTTTCTTTTGATTGCAATTTTAACACAGTCGTTGACGCTGCACTTATTGCTATCACGGCGGCACTTAATAATAAATTCTTATCCAAGTCCATTATATTTCAAAATTTACCTAACCTAACTTTGAGTTTAATTGAACATGAAGGTAGGTGCCAATAATCCGAAGTTATCAATTTTCCCAGAAATTCAAAATATTGCAAACGAAAAATGTTAACGTGTATTGTCACATATTTTTACATCAATGTTTACATGCATTTTTCGTGTATTTTACATGTAAAAATTGAATCGTGTATTGCGGGTTTAAGAACACGTTCTATTTTTGAAGGTCATTGTAATGAATTTTTACATGAAATTTTGTATGAAAATTACATGTACATATATATTTCATCGTGTACTGCTGGTTTTATACATGGTGATTAATATCGCATTATATTATGAATGATTATATTTAGCGACGTATAACTTTCAAATATCACCAAATAAGAGTATCTCATTAATTATTAATTAATGATCTTATTTATTCATTCATTCGTTATGACGCTCATTGCATTACGATTGCAAACTTCTAAGGAAGCATATCATCAAATTATTGAAATTGTAATTCTTGTGCGCGTAAGTGAAAAATGCCTAAGACTCGAAAAAGTTTGAGTGTACGGAGAAAAAGCAGAAAAGTGATAACAAAGAAGGCTGCAGCATTGTAAGTATTATAAATTTAAGAATTGCTATAATTATTTGCACCCTATGTTGTGAATCGTATCATAATCATGTTATTCATATTGAATATTTGTGTTTTATGTACCGATTTCGACATTTTTACTTTTTTGAATAACACAAAATGGTGTAATTAGAATTTTCATAGCCCATCCATAGCCCTTTTAGTTTTCTAATACTAAATAAATAATAAATAAATAATATTAAAAAATAAAATACAAAAATGATAGAGGGGAAAATTGAAAAATCTATATTTTTAATCACCCCTTGTAGGTCAACTATCAAAAAGGTAAAAACGGCATTTTATAGCGTTTTTAACGTAGATTCCAGTGTTTGTTTCAGTTTTTGTCTGATAATCTGTTTTTTCGAGTTATAATAGGTACAATTCTGTGTTTTTTTTTAAATAACACTCTTTAACACAATTTATATATTGTTTAATTTTACTTATTTATACTCTTTAAAAAAATGTATATACAGGCTGTTTGATAAAAAACGCCCCAAGCTATAGTTTTCGTCCGATTGCAATGAATCAAAAATCATATTACATGGTTTCAAAAATACTACAAAATAACCATAATTAAAACATTTTTAACCATGATTATCGAAGACAATTAACAGTAATCTTAATTTTTTTTAATAGAATAATGTATTTTTTATTTAGTTTGATAAATTTCTTCTTCACGAATTCAACGATGTATCACAACCTTATACTTTAATGCAGTTTTCCACAAAAAGGTAAATACATAAATACATTTAAAAAATGCCATGGAAAACAATTGTTGATTGTTGAGTACACTTGCAGCATGCCGGTTAATTGATTAAAATCCATTTTCCGTTAGAAGAACAAACAATTGAATTTATTTCAACAAACTTGAAATAACCAGCAGATAATTAAATTGACGTTTTATAGCTTCTCAACAATTGTTATTCATAGCATTTTTAAAATGTATTTATTTACCTTTTTTGTAGAAAACTGCATTCAAGTATAAGGTTGTGATACATCGTTGAATTCGTGAAGAAGAAATTAATCAAACTAAATAAAAAAAATATATTATTCCATTAAAAAATTAAGATGACTTAATTGTCTTCGATTATAATGGTTAAAAATGTTTTAATTATGGTTTTTTTGTAGTATTTTTGAAACCATTTAAAATGGTTTTTGTATCATTACAATCGAATGAAAACTATAGACGCTACGGCTTGGGGCGTTTTTTATTAAACAGCCTGTATATTGTGTTTAATTAAAAAATAAAAAAAATAAAATTGCAACTGGAACAAAACATTTTCAGAAAAAAAAATTTAATTGCATTACTACAGTCTACGGTAAAAACGCTATGAAAGACTGTTTTTACTTGTTTGATAGATAGTTGAGATACAAAGGGCAATAAAAAGCAAACATATCACTTTTAACCTGTATGTTAAAAACTACAAAGAACATCAAAATATTCAAAAATGTAAAAAAGTTTCACAAAATCACATGCCTCTATCTTTATATATGTATATACATTCAAAAGTGTCAAAATGTGGACACCTTGTACTTATACATTAAAATAGTACTATAAAGTATTGTCTAAAGTAATGAAAATACTCTGCATTTAGTTTTCTTTCTTGTTACTACAAAAGATATTTTTTTAGAAAAGAGAAAAAACATGACATAGAAGATGGTAGCATATTACCCAGTACTGAAAACGAATGTTACATTACCGATCAATGTAATGATTGCTCTATTGACGATTCTTTTGCTATACCTATTGTATCAGAAATTATGGACACTAGCAATACATTGTCCTCAAAGGAAGAAATGGAAACCAAATACTTTTCCTATGCTTCCTCAATAAACGACAGCGATGTAGACGAAAATGAAATGAACGCTGATTTGGGTTTATCTGGTCGGCGAATTGTAGATTTACATCATTTATTCAATTCTCTAAAATCTTTAAAACACAACGGCTTTGGATGTTCTTTTTACGACTTGGAAATTACAGGAGAGAAATTGGAGGGATTAGGAAGCACACTGACGTTCAAGTGCAACATGTGTGGAAAATTAGATACCATCAAGACAAACGGTGGCAAATCATCTTTTGGTTCTGCTACTCGTAGTGCTGTTATCGGTTGTTTGACGGTTGGAATTGGGTACAGTCAATTTTCTGAACTGCTTGCGGCAATGGATATTCCTCAAATGTCAAATGGTTTATATTTAAACTACCACAATCAGATCATCTCTGCCGTACATACAGTAAATAGCGATTTAATGTCTGAAGCGGCACAGGAAGAAGCCGAACTTGCTGAAGAAACAAATAATGAAGGTGTTCCAACTATTGCAGTAATAACAGATGGAGCATGGTCAAAACGATCATATCGGAAAAATTATTCTGCACTTTCACGAGTGGTATGTAGCATTACAGGTACATGTAATATGAAATACTCAAACGTTTTTTACAGGCTTGTATTATCGGTGCAAAAACCAAAAATAGTTATTTACATTGTTAGTGCGGGAACAGTTATTTTGAAGATGAGCGCGAAGTTTGGCGGCGCGAGTGCGCAACGCGCACGAGCGACGCATCTCGCGCGAATCAAGCAAATACTGTTCACGCACGTAACATGTATTCTATTTTTTGCACGGATTAGTTAAATCGAATTTATATAAATTCAAATCCTTTTCGCGAGATTTTTGCGACATTATAATTCTATTGAAAAAATCAAGTCCTCTATGCCGATAAAGTAGAAATTTAAAATGTCAATTTATTGTTAAAAACTTCTGGTTTAAGCTTATTTTTGCCCGTGTACTACAGGGAATGTTGTAAAGTGTATTTATATTTTCTTTTTTACTCTTCCATCATGCTACTTATTAGTTTATGATCCGCACTAAATAGATAATTTCTTTGAATTTTTAGGCACTAGTGCGCGAAAGTAGATAGTCAATTGTAAAATTGACGTTCCCGACGTTCGTGTTTGATTGGGAAAACGCGATTTAGAACGAAGGAGTGCAAAAAATATTATACATGGCAGTTAAAAACAAATACTGTTTTCTTTGTGCTAGAGGCCGTTGTGAGGATGATCACGATTGCTTCAAGAATTGGAAGAAATCTTCAACTTCTATGGAATCTGCCATTATTGGAGAGGGTTTCAAACAATCTATAAAACAGCACAATCTTATATACAATCGGCTTATTGGAGATGGGGACAGCAGTGTCTATAAGCATTTAACAGAAATAGCTCCATACGGTCCCTCGTATCACATTCGAAAAATTGAATGTCGTAATCATCTGTTGCGTAACTTTGTGAATAAACTTAGTGACCTAAGTAAAGACGTACGTTTTCCAAAAGCCAAAAGGAACCATATTTGCAACGTGAATACTTTGGGCCGCTTTCGTAACGCTGTTGTTAAGGCCATAGCGTATCGAAAACAACAAATTATCGACATTGATAAGAAGATTAAAGCTTTGAAGTCAGATATAATAAATGGCCCATACCATATTTTGGGCAAACATGATCACTGCCAAGAGTATTTTTGCAGGGGTGGTAAAGAAGACCAGGTAAACAACGTTTTTCTTTAATTCAATGAAACGTTTAATTTTTTTGTAGGAAGATTTAGTTGAAACGTACTTAGAATGTGGATTGCTTCAAGCAATAAACATTATTGTACAACGTCTTGCTGATAATGCTTCAAGTCTTTTATACGACACCGATACAAATCCTGCGGAAACATATAATTCAGTGATTGCCAAGTTTGTAGGGGGTAAAAGGATCAACTTTTCTTTAAAAAACTCGTATCAATTGCGATGTGAAATGGCTGCTATTTCGTACAATAGCAAAGGAAACTTGTTGTCTTTACTGCATCGCGAACTATGCAATACGTCATTAGGGCACTACACGCAAAAGCATTTAAGTTTTAAGACAGCTCGGCGTTCTAAGAAAATAAGGAAGTGTATGTATTACGTACATTTATTTATTTGCATGCATTTCAGTTACTAAAAGTAAAAAATGTGAAAATCAAAATTGTTTGGAATATTATTATGCACGTTTTGACTTTTTTAAGTTTTTGTAAGCAAGCATCGTATATTAATTATATATAATTATTGCAGATTATCCAAAAACTAGAACATTTGCTGCAGCAGACAATGATTATGGTTTAGTAGAAGACGATTTTACACCCGATCTACCAGAGGAACAATATGAAGAAAAGATGGCTCAGTTTTTGCTAGAACTGAAAAATGTTAACAAAAGACAAATTGCAGAAGGAACATTGCATCAATCTAAAAGCGACATATGGATTGCTGAACGAAAAAAGAGATTAACTGCTTCAAATTTTGGAAAAATTTGCAAATTGCGGAAAACCACCAATACCGCCAAAACGGTGTCGTCTATATTATACTCTACATTCATCGGAAGTATTCACACCCGTTTTGGTTTGGACAGTGAATCTGCAGCTATTGAGCTATTTGAAGATATGTACAATGTGCAGGTCACAAGATGTGGCCTAATCATTGATGAAAACAATCCATTTTTAGCATGCTCTCCAGACGGCTTAGTGGAGAACAACGCCGTAATTGAGATCAAAAGTTCCCTAAAAAGTGGTGACAATACTCCACTACAAGCAGGTGCATTGAAACTGTTTGATTATTGCGAAATTAATAAAGATGAAAACAAACTTACACTAAAAAAAAAACATAACTACTATTACCAAGTACAAGGCATTTTGGAAATAACTGGACGTCAAAAATGTTACTTCATTGTCTACACCAAAGGAGGCATTCATGTCGAAGAGATTGAAAGGTTTTTGTTTTCCTAAATCGCATTGTTTACTTACCTTTATAAATGTTACAGAGACAAAATATTTTGGCACAATCAAATGGAAAAAAAATTAAAGCAATTTTATTATAAATCGCTCCTTCCGGAATTGGTCGATCCTCGACGATGCCGAAGTATGGACATCCGCGCCGTATATATGAATGAAGACTGCCAAAAAGAATAATTCGTTACGCAACTATATCGTTTTTATTACTGTATTTTTATGTGATTAGTGGTATTAAAACGGAAAAAGTGCAATTTCTTTACTTTACAGAATCATTGAAATCATGATAAACTGTTACACCACAGCAGTGATCTGATATACACCAATTTGGTGTAATTAAGTACATTCTAATCTTTTCCGTACGGCATTTCTTGCTTAAAATTACCTAAGTAATTATCGCACATTTCCATAACATAATTACATCTTTATGTCCATTCAAGATGCAAAATTGTCAACACAAAACCATGCACTTAATCACAGATAGAAGTGCCTTCACTTTAACCTATTATGTATGCAAATTAGTTTATGACCTCTATTGTCCCTAAGACATGCCTAGGGTTTTACCTGAAGTTGAGAGAGACTATTTCGATTAATAGGAAATCTAAGCGACTTTCGCCCTTACAAGCAATAATAAAATATTGGTTTTTGACACTTTTTTGATAGTAAATTTGAATTCTAACAATTTCTCAAATGCTATAAAATTCCTTAAAAAAATATTGTACGCTCCTATGTTTATTACAAAATTGTATCATTGTTCGTTATTATGCAGTGTGGACTGCTATTATTTCAATAAAAAAATTCACAGAGGCGTTATTATTAATTGTATTAAACCGTATAAAACATAGGAGCGTACAACTCTAACCGCAGATTACGTTGGCGTATCACAACTTTTTTCACATTGCATAATTAAGAAAAAATGTGTCAAAAACCTTAACATTGCTCTTATGGAAGTATGGTGTGTTGCAAACTTGCGACTAGATACCCCTTAAGGAATTTGTAGATATGTTTAATAATGATTTAGAATGTAACGATGATATGATTGATTTATTGTATCGTACTACTTTTTATAAGGTTAATCTAATTGATCAATAAAAGTCTAAATGTATTTGTGCATTTTCATTTAACGCCATTAAAAATATGAGATACAATTAAAAGAGACTGCGGTAAGTAAACAATACTGATTGTTATAAAACGTCGCCATCGTCATCTTTAACAAAAAGGTCTGCAGAAACAATTAACCCAGAACCTGTACCGCATTCATAGAAAACAGGTAGTCCTAGCGTCCCAAAATGGTTTGCTTATTTTTCATCACATTGCCGTATTCAGAATTGTACGATTTAAGAAAAGTAAACAAATAGTACAATATAGGTTCATCAATGCACGCGTGTTCGAGGATTAAGGTAACTGGTGAGGTTCCACAAAATCAATCAGTAACCCTTTATGTCTAAAGTACGAATTTCTGAAAATCGTAACCTGTTTTTAAAAATGTGGGTGGATATTCTATTTAAGTGTTAAAATGCATTTCATTATGTTAAAACGTTCACCGTTTGCACGTCGGTTTGCACTAAGCGCATTTTTTAGATTTCGTTTTTTTTTTGGTATACGTTTGTGTCGTGTTTGTGCCGTTGAGATGAGTTTGGCGGAAGTGCGTGCCCATGTGGAGACCCTGTGTGTTTTGGCGCAGATTGCAGAGGCCGAAAATGTAGATTCCCTTTTTCTACAATTGACGTCCATGGAGTCTGGAGCTCTCCCCCTGCAGCCGAGCGGCGTCGATACCCTCCTGACCATCGCCTCGAAAAGGCTACTCCGCGAAAAAGTGCCGTTCGCAGTTCTTCCGAAATGCCTCAAAACCTCCCTGCGGGCATTGAAGGAGAAGCAACGGTGTTTTATTACGGACGTACGGGTATTGCGTTTAACCGTTGCAACCCTAAACGCGCAAAGGGTCGCAACACATCAAGATTTGATAACACGAATAAACGCCATTAACGACCTTCTCCACTGGTTTACCGAGTTCAACTTAGAACCAGTGTGTGATTACGCGCGTTTGACAGTACATGAGTGTTCCACCGTAATGAACAACATGATGATGACTCATCATTGATGAGAGTTAGGGCGCTGTACGATCAGGCACACGCCCTTCGTGCGGTATATAACAGTATTTTTTAATTGCTTTTCGCCGCGATGTAGTGTAAATAGTGCAGTGAAAATAGTGTAGTGTAAATATTTAATTTCAGGTGCACATAGTGTAATGTAAATAGTTGGTGTAAATATTTAGTTTTAGTTTGTCCATATTAGATTTAATTTGTAAATACGTTCCATGGATTAGGCTTGTAATTTGCGCTTAATTTTGGATTGTAATGTTTTTTGTTAATTGTTGCACCATAATAAACATAATTAAAACTTGTTCATTTTCTAACTTCTATTTCAGAATAGGTAAAAGATGGACGCAATGAGTAAGAGAGAGATAGACGCAGTAAGAGAGAAAGATAGGAAAAATTTCAAATTTCCCGCCGTCGGCGGCCATTTTATTTTTCCGCCATTTTGTTTTCAATTAGAGTATAATTACCTGTGTGTAATTATTACATATGTGTAATTATTACATATGTGTAATTATCAATATGTGTAATTATTTGTACAGCAAATTAAAATTAATTGGACCGCGGATTAAATTAATCAAATCCACAAATTAAATTAATTAGAGGAAATTCCGAGAAATCAAACCGCTAATTAAATTGACTAAGCCGCGAATCAAATTAATTAAACAGAAATTCCGGGAAATCAAACCGCGAATTAAATTAATTAAACAGAAATTCCGGGAAATCAACACGCGAATTAAATTAATTAGATCAATCAAACCGCAAATTAAATTAATCCACAGCAATCAATTTAATTGATGACGTCATCAATCAAATCAAATGTCAATAAAGACCAAAATCGTACAAAATTTTAATTAATTAAGCCCAAATTCCAAGAAATTAATCAAATTTCCCTGAAAACACCCCCGCCCACGTGGGCGACCCCGCGAATCAATTTAATTGACCTTGATTGACTCCGCGAATAAAATCCAAGATGGCGCCCAAAGTGACCCGGTTCTACTAATGTTTCGGCATTGTGGCGAGTACGAATGCAAATAACGGTAGAATGTACACAAGTAAACAGCAATTTTGTTCTAAAAAGAACAAATTTTTTTTGCACTAAGAGCGAAGATGAATAATAACAACAACCACAAGGATAACCGAAAACTTTCACACGCAAAAACTGAACCAAAGTGTCACATGTCAACAAATAGCGAAATAACGTTTGACAACATTGTAAAAAAAATTCCGAATTTGCCAACTTATTCTCCTAAAAAGTAACTAAATAATAATGAATATAAATCCGCCAAATCTTGATTTAAATTGGCATGCCATTTTTTTCTGTTGATGACGTGCAACGCTATTTATAGCGAAAACCGTATACTCACCTGTATTCCATAATATCTACCCCTCAGTCTCCTTAGAAACTACTTCGTTGTGATAGATCCCTCTTAATATTATGTGCTAAAATTGCTCCGAGACCATATGGACTGGCATCTGTCTCTACGATGATTGGTAATTCTTGCTGATATGGCATTAAAACTCGTTCGCTGCACAATACCCTTTTAATTTTATTGAAAGATTCTTCACATTCCCTTGACCATCGAAATTTGATATCTTTTCGTAACAATTGGTTTAATGGATGTAAAATGTGAGATGCATTTGGAATAAAATTGTTGTAGTATAAAGCTTCATTTACATTCAATTCCACTTCAAACTGAACTTGGAAATTATACGTAATGTCATTTACATTGCTTTTGCTGGTTAGAAAAGTAACATTTGCTGTATTTCGGAATTATGGATGAATTATCACTTAATTTATATGGGGTTCTTGCGGTTGTTACTGTAACTTGCTCTACTGAGAAAATGAAAAAGAAAAGGGCCAGAAAAGTGTGGGTTCGGGATTTGTTTGCGAGAAGAAGACAGTGTGGATTCTTCAACAATTTAGTCCAGGAGATGAGATTGACCGATCCCCGATTATTCTTTAACTTTACAAGAATGTCTCTAAGTTCATTTGACTTGTTACTGTCTTATGTGGGTCCACACTTACAGAAAACTTCACCAAGGGAAGCAATAACACCATCGTGCCGCTTAATATTAACATTGCGATTTCTGGCTACAGGAGATTCATACCCCAGTTTATCATTTGCCTTTAGAATTGCCCCGTCGACAATCTGTAACATTATAAAAGAAGTTTGCATCGTTTTATGGCAAATTTTGTCACCCCTGTACCTGAAGCCAATGAATAAGGAAAAATGGATTTCTATAATAAATGACTTTTATAATATTTGGCAACTTCCGAACTGTATGGGTTCAATTGATGGGAAGCATGTAAGAATTCATGCACCATCACATTCTGGTTCCCTTTATGTGAATTATAAAAATTTTTTCAGTATTGTTCTCTTAGCAGTTTGTGATGCCCGATATTCTTTCACGTATGTTGACGTAGGGGCATATGGATCACAAAGTGACGGAGGAATCTTAAAAAATTCAATTTTTGGTAAGAGGCTTTTAAATGGTACTTTAGGGGTGCCTCAACATTTACCTTTACCAAACACAGAAGTAAGTGTACCCACATTTTTTGTGGGAGATGAAGGTTTTCCACTTCAAGTGAATTTGCTGAGACCATACAGTAAAAGGAAAGTTGGAGCCCACCCTAGGAACATAAATGCAGAACCCCAAACTGTGGATGGAATTATTAAAGCTGCAGTATGCTTACATAATTTCATAAAGTCGGAGAACAGTAGCAAGCAATTGTATTGCAATAGAAACTTTATTGATAGGGAAGAAAATGGTGCATTAATTGAAGGCGATTGGAGAAAAGAAGTGCCACAGCAAAATGCTTTTGGTAACATATCTGAAGCTCATTTACGTTTTGGGAATGCATCGATCTGGGGCTAGTGTAATATAGAATGAAAAATTCTGGTTCGAACAAAACCAAAATGAGCATGATATCTTGATTTATAAGGAAGCTATGAACTTTTTTGTGGGGCAATGATGAGAAATAAAACTCAAATAAGTTTGTACGAAAAGTATATTATGCGGATATTTGAACAAAATAGAATGGAAAACTATATTTTTTTTATTTTACATTATATGAGGCAAAGGATATTGGAAAAATTAGTTCTCCTCTTCGTCCCAAAGTGGGTTCAGGTAAAACTATCTCTATATCCGATCCAGCTACTGTGTGATGATCCTCTTGTACGGGTCATTGAAAAACTGAATTCTGCGACTTTCGGTCTGATTTTCTTAAAAACATAATGGTGGGTTGCGCTTCTTCATCCAGCGATGTTATTTGGCCAACATAGAACATTATACTTTTCTTTCCTTTAAATGACACTAAAACCCAGCTTCTAATTTTAAGGATTTTTGGTCCTTTATCTTTTAAAGATTTCTCATCTTCCTCCAAACTTTGTACAAAGTTCTCAAAGGTGCCTTCGTCTGATTCACTGTCACTTAACATTTGCAGTTCATCTTCATCTGAAGACCTCGATAAAATGGTAGTTTTTGCTGTTCTTTTTTTGTTTTTTTTTTACTAAATCTTTTGCTCTGTTCTTCATCTTTTGCTTTCTTTGCTTCATCTCTTGCTTTCTTTGCTTCATCTTTTGCTTTTTTTTTCCTCTTCTTTTTCTTCCGCAGCTTTTTTCTGTCTTTCAATGTTGTCTTTCGCTGTAATAATTTCAGCTCCCGGAGCTACCCTTCTTCTTCTTTCTTTTGCATGAGGGCGGGGTGATTGTCTAACGGTATCTAGTAACAATTCCTCAAATGATACACGACAATGGTTACTTGGCCCTGCTATTGGTTCTGGTTGCGTTGCTTATGATGCTTGCTGCAATGTTTGTTGATCTCTTGATTGGTCTTCATGGCTATTACTGGGTTCATTACAATGTTCTTGTGTGGCAGATTGGGGATTTTTCATTTGTTCGTATGTTCTTAAAGCTTCTGAGTCGTATTTCGAACGATCTATAACGGATCTATTAAAAGGACACGGAAGCCTGATGTTAATAAACCTGGTTCGGTATCTTTCCATATAGTGCTCACAAGTATAAAAAAATCTTTCTTGGGTATTTTAAGGCCTACATGTTTTCTCTGGTATTCTGCTAGTTT